TGTGAGCCGGGCTTAAGTGCAGAGCTCAGAGTCTGCGCTTCACGCTCTCAGCTGTATGGCTCTTCCATCGGTACTTAATAAACTATATATGGCTGGTCAAAAGGAATCCGTGAATTATATCCATATAAAATATTTGCATATATATGCATTCTGTTTATTTCTAGATAAAGATCCAGATGAAAAAGGTTCATAGATCTTTGAATATTTCTCTCTCATTGTTCTCGTTTCTATTTAAATATGACGAAAATATTTCCTTGCATTTTCATTAAAACATTTTCTTTGTTTCCTTTAAATATTTCAACATTTTAGGAGCATATTCATTCAATTTAGTTCCGGGTTGCCATGGCATTACAAGGCAATTATGGAGGTTCTCTTTGTATTTGTTTATATCATACTTTATGAATTGAAATCTACTTTGACCTCTGAGCAGCAGGAACCGAGGGGTCAATTCTCAGAAATAAAGCCAAAATTACCAAAGTAGAAAGTTTTGTTCTTTGCTTTTTTTGGAGTAATGCAGATTTCATTGATATGTGTGTAATGCATAATTCATAGTAGATCAGGTAGTGTTTGCTTTGGGATGAAAACCTTGGATGTCTAAAACCATTCCTTTATTGGACATTTTGTTAGCTTGTCTGTCTGCTATATTAACCAATTTGATGTGTTGAACTAGATCTGCTGTTTTTACATCTTCTCTGAGAAACCTTTGTGTAAAGTAGAGCAATAATTCATAAAGCTTATTTGAATTCTATATATCAAAGTTCTCTGTCCAACAGCAATGATGAATTGCACAAAAGCCAATGGCATAACTATCGGTAAGCAGAGTATGCTTAGGTCCCCCTGACCTCTTAGGGGCCCCATGCAATTGTGGACTAGGACGTCTCTATGCAAATATAATGGTGTGCAAAATTAGTCTTAAACCCACCTGATACTAAACCGACTGACCGGACCATATTTATACCGCAACACATGCCAGATTTCAACATCATGGTGAGCCGTTTAAACACGACACCAATAGCAAAGCTTACAGTGGTACTTTTAATTACTATTGGAATAATTGTGTATAGTTCATTAGAAGGGGGGAGGGTCAGATAATGTTGCTATTGTAGCATTTAGGATAGAGCTGTCAGTCTGGTTGTCATATTGATGAGATCACCACATTCAAAGTTAGTCTGGAGCTGCATTTCACCTTCTGTTATTAATAGTTTCAAGATATTAATAAATTAGGAATTCTTTTTTTTAGTGGGGGGGAAATAATGAACACAATCAGATAAACACAAAATCAAATAAAACAATAAAATCTCCATCATAGCCAGCAGTACTTCACACTCGGCTATGCAGAGAGAGGGAGCTGCAGACGGGCTAATGTTAGCCCTGGCTCGGGCAAACGTTTGCCCTGGCTAACAGACAGGCTAAAGTTAGCCCTGGCAGAAGGGGGGATTCTCCTAACAAGGATTCTACTACTTCTTCGCCTCAGATGTAAACACAGAAGCATAGCAGAGGTGCAATGAGTGACATGTAGTTCTGTCTGTCAACTTGACAGACTCTAGTAGCCACGTTTGCTCAGCCATGTCTTTGTCCAAATACGTTATCTCCTTTTCTTTTTAGAACTTCCATCCATCCATCCATCCATCCATCCATCCATCCATCCATCCATCCATCCATCCATCCATCCAACTTCTTGCGCTTATCCGGGGTCAGGTCCGGGTGCAGCAGCTTAAGAAGGGAGGCCCAGCTTCCCTCTGCCCAGCCACTTCTTCTAGCCCCTCAGGAGGAACCCCAAGGCGTTCCCAGGCCAGCCGAGAACATAGTCTCTCCAGTGTGTCCTGGGTCTTCCCCGGGGCCTTCCCCCGGTGGGACGTGCCTGGAACACCTCACCAGAGAGGCGTCCAGGAGGCATCCTAACCAGATGCCCGAGCCACCTCAACTGGCTCCTCTCGACGTGGAGGAGCAGCGGCTCTACTCCGAGTCCCTCCCGGGTGACCGAGCTTCTCACCCTATCTCTAAGGGAGAGCCCAGCCACCCTACGGAGGAAACCCATTTCGGCCGCTTGTATCCGCGATCTCGTTCTTTCGGTCATGACCCAGAGTTCATGAGCATAGATGAGGGTAGGAACGTAGATCGACCGGTAAATCGAGAGCTTCGCTTTTTGACTCAGCTCTCTCTTCACCACGACGGACCGGTACAGCGTCCGCTTCACGGCAGACGCTGCGCCAATCCGCCTGTCGATCTCCGGCTCCCTTCTTCCCTCATTCGTGAACAAGATCCCAAGATACCTAAACTCCTCGACTTGGGGCAGGACAACCCCCCTGACCCGGAGAAGGCACTCTACCCTTTTTTTCCGGCTCAAGACCATGGCCTCGGATTTGGAGGCACTGATCCCCATCCCGGCCGCTTCACACTCTGCTGCGAACCTATCCAGCGAGAGCTGCAGATCACGACCTGATGAAGCCAATAGGACCACATCATCTGCAAAAAGCAGAGACGCAATCCTAAGGCCACCAAAACGGATCCCCTCAACACCTTGGCTGCACCTAGAAATTCTGTCCATGAAGGTAATGAACAGAATCGGTGACAAAGGGCCAAAAGTCCAACTCTCACTGGAAACGAGCCTGACTTACTGCCGGCAATGCGGAACAGACTGACAACGGTCATACAGGGACCTGACTGCCCATATCAAAGGGCCCGGCACCCTGTACTCCCGGAGAACCCCCCACAAGCCCCCCCGAGGGACACGGTTTAACGCCCCAGTCCCAAGTCGAGGTCAGCAGCACACCATCCCCACTATAAACAGTGTTGGTGCTGCACCACTTCCCCCTCCTGAGACGCCGGATGGCGGACCAGAATCGCTTCGGAGCCATACGGAAGTCTTTCTCCATGGCCTCTCCAAACTCCTCCCACACCCGAGTTTTTGCCTCAGCAACCACCCAAGCATGCTGCATGCTGCTTCGCCTGTCGGTACCCATCAGCTGATTCCGGAGTCCCACAGGCCAAAAAGGCCTGATAGGCCTCCTTCTTCAACCTGACAGCATCCCTCACCGGAGGTGTCCACCAACGGGTTTGAGGGTTGCCGCCACGACAGGCACTGACAACCTTGCGGCCACAGCTCAGATAAGCCACCTCGACAATGGAGGAATGGAACATGGTCCACTCGGACTCAATGTCCCCCAGCCCCCGGGGATATGTTAGAAGTTCTGCCGGAGATGGGAGTTAAAGCTCCGCCTAACAGGGGACTCCGCCAGACGTTCCCAGCAGACCCTCACAACACATTTGGACCTGCCAGGTCTGACCGGCATCCTTCCCCACCCCGGAGCCAACTCACCACCAGGTAGTGGTCAGTGGAAAGCTCCGCACCTCTCTTTACCCGAGTGTCCAAGACATACGGCTGCATGTCCGATGAAATGATGACAAAGTCGATCATCAAACTGCGGCCTAGGGTGTCCTGGTGCCAAGTGCACGTATTGACACCCTTATGCTTGAACATGGTGTTCGTTATGGACAATCCATGACGAGCACAGAAGTCCAACAACAGAACACTACTCGAGTTCAGATCGGGGCGGCCATTCCTCCCAACCACACCCCTCCAGGTCTCACTGTCATTGCCCACATGAGCGTTGAAGTTTCCCAGCAGAACAAGTCCCCAGGAGGGGCAATTTCAACTGTTGTTTGGCCCATAAGAACGTACAACAGTCAGAACCCGTCCCCCCAACGTACAGGCGCCGAGATGGGGGGCAACAAGTATGCCCACTCCTGCCCGGCGCCTCTCACCGTGGGCAACTCCAGAGTGGAAGTATGTCCAGCCCATCTCAAGAAGACTGGTTCCAGAACCAGAACCATGCATCGAGGTGAGACAGACTATTTCTAGCCGTAACCTCTCAGCCTCACACACTAGCTCCGGTTCCTTCCACACCAGCGAGGTGACATTCCACGTCCCAAGAGCCAGCTTCTGCAGCTGAGGATAGGAACGCCAGGGTCCCCTCTCCCGGCCACCACCCAACACACATTGCACCCGACCCCTATGGCCCCTGTCACGGGTGGTGGGCCCATGTAAGGGGGGAAACATGTTTCTTCTTCAGGCTGAGCCCGGCCGGGCCCCGTGGGTAAAAGCCTGGCCACCAGGCGCTCGCCATCGTGCCCCCCCTCGAGGCCTGGCTCCAGAGTGGGGTCCCGGTGACCCGCGTCCGGGCAAGGGAACACCAAATCCAAATATCGTACTCCTCATGGGGGTCTTCGGGCTGTGCTTTGTCTGGTTCCTCACCTTTGCTTTTTAGGGCTTTCAGCACAAAATTGCCCAAATAGCCATGGCAGCGTGTTTAACTCTAGTGAGCTTTATATTCCTCTTCTACTGGTTTGGCTTCCGGATAGAGGAGTCAGAGTAGTGCCATCTCACTGCGGAGCTGAGTCCGACATGGTTTTCAGTCATACAGTGTGAGCAGGTACATCACATCAGAGCGTCGGGCTGAACATACATTGTGAGCTGTGAACTCACATTGTACGACTGGACCCTGCGGTTTAGTCATACAGTGTGAGCTCTAGCTAAGTGCAACGATTGAAAAAATTGCACAGTGTATGCCCGACTTAACCTGGAAGCTGCTGCCACAGTGCATGCTGGGACAGCTGTCAGTCTGGGGAAGAGACAAGTTTGCTCTAATGCATGCTGGGTAAAGAGGGAGGGGCGAGAACAACATCCGGGGACTTTGTCCATTCTCAGTCTGCAGTTCTTGTGAACTGGAACAATACTAGGGCTGAGGATGATGATGTTTCACAAGCACACGAGAACGCACAAGTACACAGACTGAGAAATGGCCTCTGACTATCTGCAGGGATTCAAGTCTTTACCATGTTGCTAATGGAACAAAGTCATTCCTGAAAAGGGGATTATACTGATTCTTCAAAGTGATCATTAAATATCAGCTTTAATTCACAGCAGATACAATGATCCAAACATTTCTGAGTTGCCCCGTGTCAAGAGCTATTCCATACACCAGTGAATATATACTTACTTGAAACTTCCTAAGTCCAAATTGTAAAGGTCCAAGTATTTCTCATATTCAGCGGCATAGGCCCTTAGAGGTATTGCTGCTTTCATCTGAGCCATCCGGACTTTTTCCTCCAGCTCTTTTATTTCTTTTTCATGGAAACTCTTTGGCTGGAGTGACAAACTGTCCATAGTATCCAGTTCCATCACAGACTGGTAAGAAGAAAGAAGCAGTTTGACTTCATTGTCCTTGACGTGTAACCCACTACTGACTTGGAGAAAACATACAGAGTTTGATTTTCAACGTAAACACACAAAATGTTTGTTGTACAATTACCTTATGAAGATTGTGTGCGACCAAAATGGTCGACTGGAACATTTTTGTGATAAATGTCTCAAAGTCTTCAAGTGGAGGATTGTAATGAACCCCACTTTGGTCCATAACCAGACAGACACGATAGAGAGGCTTTTTCTCTGGCCTCAATAGAGAGAGATGTCGAGATTAATTCACTCAGTACAGGACATCAACATAAATTTATATATAGTTGTCCTGGAAAGTTTACATGGTTTTATGGGCCCCCAAGTTCCTGGGGGGCCAATAAAACTCTGCTTATACATATGGTTAATACAACTATTCCTTAGTTCTGCACATTAATTATGTTTTTGATAAAAATCTTTTCGCTAAAATGTCATCAGAATGCTTATAATAATATTAAGTGTGCTCCCCCCTTTAGTGTCCAACAAATTGGATGAGTCCATTAGCTCTTTAGTCGCTATGTTATGAAGCAATAAGATTTTCTGTAATGTTCAGGTTCTAGAATGTGTGTCTATATGATCCTTTTGTTTTTTTAATTGTTTGTTACCTTTGTGGGTGTTTCCTTTTTACAAGCCATCTTGGAATCTTACTAAGGAGGAGGCCCGCCTCCAACCCAGCTCTGTTATAGAGGGAGCCATGATGGCTGAACTTTGATTGGCTGAGGGTAAATTGAGAAGGTGGGCATAACAGTATATAGGTAGACAGCTGGCTGTAGTAAGGGTCTGATGGGAAAGCTGCCATTTTGTTCTAAGTATAACCATGCTCTGATGGAAGAGACTTAATAAATTACCTTCTGTTTTTGCTCCAACCACCTTGGCTAAATTTTTCCTTCCACACCACACCTCTCAGCGCAACAGGCTATATTTAGCAACTTTCCAGATCCCTGTAGAACTTGTATTACTAAAATGCGCCTAGCACCAAATCTAGTGACTAGACATGATCTGTGTATATATCTATATATAGATATATACACACTCTACCGTTCAAAAGTTTGGGGTCATTTTGTGTTTTCCTGAAAAGTCACACTTATTCACCACCATACGTTGAGAAATGAATAGAAAATAGAGTCAAGACATTAACAATGTTGGAAATAATGATTTGTATTTGAAATAAGATTTTTTTTTTTACATCAAACTTTGCTTTTGTCCATTTGCAGCAATTCCAGCATTGCAGACCTTTGGCATTCTAGCTGTTAATTTGTTGAGGTAATCTGGAGAAATTGCACCCCACGCTTCCAGAAGCAGCTCCCACAAGTTGGATTGGTTGGATGGGCACTTCCTGTGTCCCATACGGTCAAGCTGCTCCCACAACAGCTCAATGGGGTTCAGATCTGGTGACTGCGCTGGCCACTCCATTACAAATAGAATACCAGCTGCCTGCTTCTGCTCTAAATAGTTCTTGCAAAATTTGGAGGTGTGTTTAGGGTCATTGTCCTGTTGTAGGTGTTGGGATCTGGAGATCTGCCACCTTCCTCCAGCAGAGAGCGCCGTGGGTCTCCTGAGCTGGAGCCTCCTGCACACCTGAGGCTGATTCACCTGATTAGGAGACCCTCTACTTAAGCAGCAGCCAGACCTGTCTTCAGCGCCGGAGTGTTGACCAGTTTTGGTTAGCGGAACCTGAGCCTCAGTTAACATTGAGAATCTCTGTCTGCTCTAGAGAGCAACCTGATTCTAACCAGCCTCTGTCTTTTCTGCTCACAGGAAAACCCGACTGAAGTCTGTAGCTCTGGAGGAGCTTGTGCTTGAAAACCTGCCTGCCTGCCCAGAAAAGCCAAACCTGAAGACTCTCAGTCTGAATTCCCCAGCTAGTTCTCAGGGAGGACTAGGAGAACAACTCAAGGTCTGAACCTCGTTATCCTGAAGCTAAACAATGCCACTGCTGAGCACTCTGCTGAATCCACAGTCTCTGGACCCAACCGGTTCCCTCTCTCCATCGATCAGTCTGAACCTCATCAGGTACAAACCAGAATCAAACCCCTGACAAGTCACCGCTACCTGGCTAACCAAACTATTCATCTCTGCAGATTACTCTGTGATTCCAGTCCCGGACCAGTACCAGAACCTGCTCATTTATAACTCTTGTGTGCTTCTCTCAATAAACTGTTAAACTTTTACTCCGTTTCCTGTGGTGTTCTGCATGTGGGTTTAATCACAGAGACCCATCATGACAGTAGGGTGAAATTGGCTCCAATCAAGCGCTGTCCACTGGGAATGGCATGACGTTGCTAAATTGAGTGATAGCCTTCCTTATTCAGAATCCCTTTTACCCTGTACAAATCTCCCACTTTACCAGCACCAAAGCAACCCCAGAGCATCACATTACCTCCACCGTGCTTAACAGATGGCGTCAGGCATTCTTCCAGCATCTTTTCATTTGTTCTGCGTCTCACAAACGTTCTTCTTTGTGATCAAAACACCTCAAACTTGGATTCATCCGTCCAAAACACTTTTTTCCAGTCTTCCTCTGTCCAATGTCTGTGTTCTTTTGCCCATCTTAATCTTTTTCTTTTATTGGCCAGTCTCAGATATGGCTTTTTCTTTGCCACTCTGCCCTGAAGCCCAGAATCCTGTAGCCGCCTCTTCACTGTAGATGTTGACACTGGTGTTTTGCAGGTACTATTTAATGAAGATGCCAGTTGGGGACCTGTGAGGCGTCTGTTTCTCAAAGAGACTCTAATGTACTTATCTTCTTGCTCAGTTGTGCAACGCGGCCTCTTCTTTTTCTACTCTGGTTAGAGCCTGTTTGTGCTGTCCTCTGAAGGGAGTAGTACAGGCATCCCCAAACTCGGTCCTCAAGGCCCCCTGTCCTGCAGGTTTTAGAGGTTTCCTTGCTCCAGCACAGCTGATTTTAATTGAAAGCTGATTAACAGGCTTTTGGTCTACTGCAATCATTATAACCAGCTGTTACTAAGCAGAGAAACCTCTAAAACCTGCAGGACAGGGGGCCTTGAGGACCGAGTTTCGGGATGCCTGGAGTAGCACACACCGTTGTAGGAAATCTTCAATTTCTTAGCAATTTCTCACATGGAATAGCCTTCATTTCTAAGAACAAGAATAGACTGTGGAGTTTCAGATGAAAGTTCTCTTTTTCTGGCCATTTTGAGCTTTTAATTGACCCCACAAATGTGATGCTCCAGAAACACAATCTGCTCAAAGGAAGATCAGTTTTGTAGCTTCTGTAACGAGCTAAACTGTTTCCAGATGTGTGAACATGATTGCACAAGGGTTTTCTAATCATCAATCGGCCTTCTGAGCCAATGAGCAAACACATTGTACCATTAGAACATTAGAGTGATAGTTGCTGGAAATTTACATCTTTTATTTATATATATATATATATATATATATATATATATATATATATATATATATATATATATATATATATATATATATATATATATATATATATATATATATATATATATAAATATATATATATATATATAAATAAATAAAAGATGTAAATGAGCCTGATTAAGCTCCAGAACTAAAATGCTGTTAAGCAACGCTTTAAGGCAATAATCCCTGAAATCAGCTCTAATGTTCAGGAAATGTTGAGCCAGACTGCTGCACCTGTTGACGGGTTGTTGGTTCACTGTTCATCAGTGAGGTACTTTCATTTGTCAGGTTAGTTTGTTTTTTAAGTATTTTTGAATCCAAAATCAATATTTTATATTACTAAATCGTCCTGTTTTAATTCTATTATTTATTACTTTTTTCAGTTTTGTCCTTTTTTAATGCCTAGCGTGAATTTATCATTTCATTACTGAAAGGGTATGTAAACTTTCAAACACAACTGTATATATAAAGATATATAGAGAAGAACACATCAAGGATATATTGGGACAGTTATTTTCATCAAACTACATTTTTCAGTGATTCAAAGGAAACATTGTGTAACTGAGAAATATCTTACTTGTAGGGGCTGCTGATCAGGTCGCTTGCCCAGACCAGGTCCTGAGGACACTCCAGCACACTGTGACAAGCTTCCAGAACCAGATCAGCCAGGGTATCCAGGGAGTCTAGCACAAGGCTGCGCAAGGAGCTTCTGAAGATCACCAGTTTCATCAGTCTAAACATGGGGATGTAGAACTTTTTCCCATGGCGACCTTTAGCAAGGGATTTCTTAGCGGTCAACATGCTGCGACTCAGGAGGGGGATCCACTTCTCTTTTAGATAATGGCTTATCTGGAAAAAGAAAAATGCTCCAGGAGGTTCTTTTTCATGGGAAGTCAATGTGTCTGGCCTAATGTACTTGGATACAAGCAACAACATCTAAAAGCAGCAAACTCTGCTCTCCAGAGCAAGTAGATTGGTAACCCCGCCTCCTGCTCTCCTCTATCTTGTCTGCTGTCATGATTCATGCAGCTATTATTTCATCCAAATGAAAAATGGAGAACAGATAAGCAGATCATGGCTTGTCTACAGTGAAAAGAAGGACTGGGTTATTTACTTTGGCCTTTTTGGAAACACAGGAAGGAGCAATCAGCTAAGTGAGCTTAGTGCTTGGAAAAAATCTTTCATTCCTTTAGAGACAGCATGAAAAGTCAGCTGAGTACAAAACATAGAGAGGAAAACAAGAAGAAAAGGGACAAGAAGAGAGGGACACAACACAGATAATGGATGTCTATTCTATTAACATTTCTCTATCTGGAGAATGGGGCTGTTTTATGTGTTGGCTTCTCCATTCAGAGGGCCCCCCTTCCTGTCTTTGCCTAGGGCCCCACATTTCCTAAATCCGCCCCTGCTTCCATTAAAGACAGAAAAAAACAAGCTGCTAGCAAAATAAATGGAAATGGACAAAATAGAAAATTTTGTCCATTTCCATTTAAGACAAATGATACTTTAACTTTTTCTACCTTGGATGTTCCATACATGCTTTTAATCAATCTAAATACAGACATACATTCGAGAGGAAAACTGCAGCATATAGTTGCAAAAGAATCCACAACCTTGACCTCCTTTATCAGAACAGTTTTATTTAAATTATTAGGGTTAGGTTTATTAGGTCTAGATACCACATCTGTATCTTACTTATATTCACCCTTTGTTGCTTTCAGAGGTTTATAAAATCAATGTGGTTATAATTATGATTCAAAGCCATTTTCAGCTAATTTGACTGATTTTCTCTAAAAGGTATTTCTGGACACTGGATGAATATCTGAAACGTTCTGAGTCCGAACTCCCTGCTATTTGGACCTTTTCCACATCCCTCCGTTCTTATGTGTTTGATCCACAATTAAATTGTGGAATTTATGATTTTCTAAAGTTGAGATTTAAAAACAGAGTGTTCTTTCCTCAGCGTTTTTTAATTGATATTTTATCATAATAACTATTCGTGTTATTGGTGGTAGATTAGCAGCAGAAGAGGTGCCTCTGTAGTCCCTCAGTGCTTAGTTACCTGATAGTGGACTGTGTACTGGAGGTGTTCATATTCCTCTAGTCGAATTGGCAACGTCACATTGAACAGCTTCATGTCTGAAACCTTCTGGCACTTGGACATAGCTTCAGCTATCACCCTTCTCATCTCTGGGTGGTTTAGCAAGAAGTTCTGGCCAAATTCTGCTCTCCTTTTCTCAAAGTCACCAGGAGGCATTAGAAGACATCCTGTAGGAGTGAAAAAGTCTGTGTTTAGGTTCTGAGAGGATTAATCTTGGGAACAAAACAAAAAAAGAGGTACATCTGAATGAATGTAGAAAACATCTTACGTTCTTGAGGAACACGTTCAGCATTTCTTTGTGGGAAGAAGGTTTCTAACTCCTCATAGGTTTTGTCATATTCCATACCGTTCATAACCCGGCCACTTTCCAGTTTGATTTCTTCTACACATCTTTCGAATCTGAACATAAAACAGCCTTCTTTTACCCCTTTCACATTTTATTGGGGTAAAAAAACAACATAAACTGAAACCAAATAAAAGGGACCAACGGGAAACAGTATAGCTCACCTTCTTGGTTCAAAGCCGCGAGCTGATTGGACAGACGTTCTGATGCGATGCAGGGAGTCTTCACAGAGGGACATGTCCCCTGGCTGGATGGGCATGCAGTCCACAGTCAAGTCCCACAGAAGCTGTTTCTCTGCATTCTTCCTCAAACGTAGAGCAAAGTGGATTCGCTCTTCAAAGACCCGCGGATCCTCAGCTTTGAATAGCAGTCTTATCCTCGGTACCCAGTGCTTCGAGCCTCCATGGAGAGAATTCATCTCTGTGACAGCAAAGTGTTCACTCATTGGAAATATGTCCACTTATTTTGCACATTCAGACAAAACCCATTGGTTTCTTCTCACTTTCTGACAAAGAAAGATTTCTTTTTCCAATGTCATTTGAATTAAAAGTTAAAATAGACTGTCTGACTTCCGGTGGTGACGATGTAGGAGAAGGCCGCTCGAAAGAGGTCTCCCGGGTAAACTGCAATATATTCCTGTAAACACTACATTTGTTTTGGAAAAACAACGGACTGTGATCTTGGTTCATACCCCGCCGTGAAATGAGTGGTTCCAAGTCTAAAACTACCAACACGTCGAGCTGTCCTGTTACTCGCGGAGGGGCGGCTACTGTGGCTGGCAAACTAGCTAAAATGGCGGCCGCATGTTCGGATACAGGTAACACGGCTGGTCCTGCCAAAGACTCGCCAGATATCTTGTCAATGAGCCAGCTGGTTTCTGAACTGGATAAGCAACGTGCCTCACTACGGAACAACATGCTAATGTTAATCCAAGAGTCTATTAAACCACTTCAGTCTTCCGTGGATACACTGTGTGAGACTGTAAACCACTTTAACAGCCGCCTCACTGCTGCAGAGACTCTGGCTGGGGACAACTTTGAGCGCATTACAAACACCGAGAAGACCGTGAAAATGCTAAAAGCCCAGAATAAGTCTCTTCAAGACCGCCTTGATGATCTCGAAAACAGGTCGCGAAGAGTTAACCTCCGTATAATCAATATTCCTGAGGGCAGCGAAAAGGGCCGAGACCCGACCGAGTTTATCTCGGATTTGTTGATGGAAAACCTCGGTCCTGGCGTTCTCTCCAAACCACCAGAGCTTGAGAGAGAGAGCATCGCTCCCTAGCCCCTAAACCTGGACCCGGAGGCAAACCCAGGCCGTTCGTGATATGCTTTCATCGTTTCCAGGAGAGGGAGAAGGTGCTTCGGTGGACCAGACAGCACGACCTTAAACACGGAGAGACAACACTTCGAGTGTATCCAGACGTGAGCGCCGCTACCGCAAAGAAACAAGCTGCTTACAACCGGATCAAGCAAGCCCTCTACCAGTAAGGTGTGAAGTTCAGGCTCCTTTTCCCTGCCCGCCTGCAAGTTTCATATGAGGATCAGTCATTCACTTTTGAGACCCCCGAGGAGGCACAGGCTTTTTTCAACAATCAAGTGCTGGGTAAAGAGTGAGATGCATTATATTCCTTCCGCTGTTGTCGCTGTGTCCGCTCCGCTTATTTGAATGAAACAATCTGCCTTTATTGTACACCGCTCTGCGGACTCGGCACGGGTACTCAGAGGACATCCTTGAGCATCACCGTAACCATGGAAACCGGTAGGCGCAAGGGCTAAGTCTACTCTGATTACGGGACGTTGTTTATTCCCTACTGCTATGACATGAGAGCTGTTCTGCTCATCTCTTCTGCTCAGTTTATGACGGTAAATATGTTAAGGTAGCATGGAACCCTCAATCTGGCTGATGTACCTCTTCACAGATACTATATTCACAGAAACCACTTACTTAGATTATTATTATTATTTTTTTTTTTTTTACCCTCCAGCTTCATTGCTTTTTCTTGTAAATCTTTAACTCCTCTATGTGTATCTCTGTGAACTGAGACCTTTTGGTTGGAATTAAATGGCTTATTTATTTATTTATTTATTTACTTATTTATTATTATTATTTTATTATTATTATTATTTTTATTTTATTTTTTTCATTTATTTCATTTATTTATTTATTTTTTCCTCTTGTAAATTTTTCTTTTTCTCTCAATCACTTAATAATGATCAACATATCACCTTAAGACAGAGTGGCAAACTGAGTGAGAGACCGTTAAGACTGACAACTATGGTTATAACTTGTTCTTCAAAAAACGTTAAAAAGTGGTGTAAGTTATCTTTTTTCACCTGGGCGACCTCTTGAACAATTCAATTCAGTTTATTTATATAGCGCCAAATTCACAACACATGTCATCTCAAGGCACTTTACAGTTCAACCAGATCATACAGTCAAATTGATACAAAGTTTTCTATCTAAGGAAAACCAGTTGATTGCATTGACTCATTGACTCAAATACAATCCCTCACACTAAGAGGTCATGGAAGCAGAAAGTGATATCCTGTTGGGATCGAAGGTGTGGGGATACTTGGTTTGTATAAGACTATTGGGGATTGGGAAGAAGCAGAGGAGTGCATTGTTCCTTCTGTGTTTTCTTTTTTTGTTGTTGTTTTTGTATTTTTTTTTTGTTTGTTTTGTCTTTTTTTTCTCCCTTGGGCTCAGGAGACACATCAGACCTGGAAGAGGTTATTCTTAGTATTTCAACTCTATGACAGCTCAGGATAAGAATCTCCGCTTTATTTCCTCGAACCTGAAGGGCATCAACCAGACCATTAAACGAAACAAAGTAATGGCCCATTTAAATCAACTCAGGGATATTTTTTTTCTGCAGGAAACTCACCTCAGATCCTCAGAATTTAACTGTATTAAGCGATCTTGGATAGGGCATGTATTTCACTCCAAATTCCCTGTAAGGGCAAGGGGCGCAGCTATGCTGATACATAAAAATGTTCCATTTGAATTATCAAACTCCATTGAAGACCTTAATGGTCGATTTGTAATTTGTAGACTATGTGGCATTCCTGTGATAATGGCCTGTATTTATGCACCAACAGTGGATGAGGACGATTTCATTAGATGCTTTTTTTCCTCTCTTCCTAAAGTTGATGATCACTACTTAATTATTGGCGGTGACTTCAATTTAATCCAGGACCCCTCTCTAGACAGATCTTCTTCTATTCCCCAGATGTTATCCAAATCAGCCAAAGCTCTTGATTTGTACAAGACTAGTCTTGGTTTATTTGAACCATGGAGAGTTAAATGCCCTTCGAATAAAGTATTTTCCTTTTTCTCTCACATCCATCGTTCATATTCACGAATAGATTTTTTTCCTTCTGGATAATTATTTTCTGTCTAACATCCATTCTTGTGAATACCATACCATTGTCAATTCTGACCACGCCCCCGTATCGGTTGATCTTACCTTTTCTAGCCGTGTCCCGCCCCCCAGACGGTGGAGATTTAATTCTGCCTTACTAGCTCAGGCTCCCTTTAAAAACTTCCTTAAAGGAGAATTCCGGTTTTTACCACTTTTAGCCCATTTTCTGTAGTGTCCAGGATGAAATCGAATGATCGACACCAAAATTTTGACAATTGGTCCTGTCTCTGCTTTTTGGCTCATTTAGAATCCACCCCTGGCTGCTTCAGAATGGCTTCCATAGTGCATGTCCGATAATGTCCTTAAAACAACCTTAAACGTTCTTTTTTTAAAATATGCTACTCACCGGGTCGTCAGCGCTGTTCAATGACGTTCCAAAAAAAGTTTCGTAAAGAAAAAACGTTCCTGTAGTGTTTTATTTAGCATTTTGTAAATCCCATTGAGTTCTGTTGGAATAGTCAATATTCCCCTGCCACCGGAAACGGAAATGGGGCCTGTTTACACAGTTGTAGTCTTTTCGCTTCACTCTGTGTACTCCGACGTCGAGGTGCTAACGTCTCTGTTAAACACTTTAAAAAACTCTGAAAATGGAATACGAAAGGTGGATTCTTGATTCTCGACGTCGGAGTACACAGAGTGAAGCGAAAAGACTACAACTGTGTAAACAGGCCCCATTTCCGTTTCCGGTGGCAGGGGAATATTGACTATTCCAACAGAACTCAATGGGATTTATAAAATGCTAAATAAAACACTACAGGAACGTTTTTTCGTCACGAAACTTTTTTTGGAACGTCATTGAACAGCGCTGACGACCCGGTGAGTAGCATATTTTAAAAAAAGAACGTTTAAGGTTGTTTTAAGGACATTATCGGACATGCACTATGGAAGCCATTCTGAAGCAGCCAGGGGTGGATTCTAAATGAGCCAAAAAGCAGAGACAGGACCAATTGTCAAAATTTTGGTGTCGATCATTCGATTTCATCCTGGACACTACAGAAAATGGGCTAAAAGTGTTAAAAACCGGAATTCTCCTTTAATGCTCAGATCTCCTTGTTTTTTGACACCAATGACTCCCCACAAATATCAAGATCCACACTATGGGAAACGTTTAAGGCATATATGCGTGGAAAAATTATATCATATGTTTGAACTTTGAAGAGAAGGGAAAGGGAGGAGTCGGAAGCTCTCACCAAGGAAATACTGAGAGTGGATCATTTGTATGCTTCAGCTCCCACACCCACTCTTTATAAAGAACGTCTTCTGCTTCAGTCCAAATTTGATCTATTATCCACGAGTAAAACACAAAAACAGTTATTCCGGACTAAACAACGTTTCTTCGAGACTGGGGATAAAGCAGGAAGATTATTAGCACACCAAGCACGCGCAGCCACACAATCTAGGCTGATCCGAAAGATCAAATCCGCTTCGGATGAAGTTACCTCAGACCCTACTGAGATTAATGAGATATTTTGCTCCTACTACTCCAACCTTTACTCCTCGCAGTGCCCATCGGATGTCTGGAGAGGCGATAACCCGCTAGATAAGATAGTTTTCCCTAAAATTAGTGAAGACTTGTCTGGAGAGCTGGGAAATCCCATTTCTGTCAAGGAGGTACAGGAAGCAATTTCAGCACTCCAAAACGGTAAATCTCCGGGCCCTGATGGGTTCACTGCTGAATTTTTCAAGTCATTCTCGGTTACCATTGCCCCAGCCCTTCAACAAATGTATAATAAATCCTTTGCTAAGGGGTTTCTACCCCCCACCCTGTCGGAGGCCTCAATTTCTCTCCTGCTAAAGAGTGATAAAGACCCTCTAATGTGCAGTAGCTATAGACCCATCTCCCTTTTAAATGTTGACCTAAAGATTCTGTCAAAGATCCTTGCCCTCCGTCTACAGCGTGTCCTCCCAAGTATAAGTTCAACTGATCAAACAGGTTTTATGCTTGGAAGGCACTCATTCCATAACACAAGGAGACTCCTTAATATTATTAGTGATC